TCATGGCTGTTAATAATCCTACTGTGTAAGTGGATTGGAGCCTACTGTCCTTTATATTTTTAAGTCTTTGAACATTTCATAAGGTAGAGGTTCATGTACCAGATTTTGTCTGCCCTGCTGAGTAATGATAGGGAAGGCAGCAAAGGACTGCCAGTCTCCCTCCCTGCTCACGTCTTTAAGGCACTGATACATGGTAGTAGTTACTGGCAAAGGGGCTTGAATGGCTGCCACCATTGGGGTGGAAAAATCAATAAGGGGATCCTGATGCCTAAAGTTTTGCCCCCAAGTAGGAGTGGAGGGAAGAATCAGAGACAGGGAAGGTATCTCCTTGTTTTTAAGGAGCAGACTTAAGTCTTCCTGATTGGAGGTGATAAAAGTGGCCTCCTCCACTCTCATCTGAAATGAATTTTCCCCTGCCCCTTTAGCCTTAATATCTGAGTTGGGAATATGAATGGGAGTGAAAGCAGTCCTGACCATTCCCCAAGTAAAAAATTCTGATGCCCGATAGGGGCACTGGTTTCCTGGTGCCACTTCAATTTCTGTCCTACCTTTTCCCATATTTCCAAATCTAAAGTCCCCTTATCGGGAAACCAGGGGCAATATTTTTTAACAATATGAAGTAAGTTAATTAAGTTCTGCTTTTTAACCTGACAGCCCAAAGCCTTAAGAAGCTGCTGAATTTGTCTAAAGTATGGCTGTTGTTCTTTAGAGGGGCCATTACCCATGGTTGAGAATTTGTAGAAACCTTTAAAGAAACTCCTTAACAAATAAATGAACCTTGTCTGAAATGTGGGAGAGCTTTGCCAACAGTCCCTTGTCCACTGCAAGCATGGCAATTACAAAACCAGTTTCAGTTTCACTTTCACTCTGCACCCTCAGATCCTGTTTCTTGAGGAGAGTGCAGTGGGTGAAAATGTGCTGTTGGTGGAAGACAGTCAGGGAGAGGGGTACCGGATATTTCAGGTATCCTAACCCCGCTTATGGGTCTCAGTTTCTCTTCCCGGTCATCTGGACCAGCTGGGAGCGCTCAGAGCTCTGGGTGACCAACCCTTAAATTGCACTTCCCCGGATGAGCCAAAAGTTAAATTATGTGATGTGGAATTCCCTGGAAGGCTCCTGTACGTCTCAGAGATTTGACTCCAGACACGTCGACGAGGTCTCCACTCACGTAGGGATGCCCGAGGGATGCCCGAGATCTCAAGCTGAAGGGAGGAAGTGCCTCTCTTTTTCGGGGCTCAGCAGGAAGCTGAAATGCTCGTAAATACCTTGCTACAAAAGCTGATAAAGGGGAAAGTCTTTCCTTTCTCCTCCCCAAGCCTAAACCCAAGCGGGGATTCGTGTTGCAGGGGATGGGGCTGTGAATGCTTTTACAGTGTGCCTCTCATTGTGTGGACTTTTTTGCTTGTGGCTGGTGGGAAACCTAGTGTTCTGACCCAGTCCACGCCCTAGCTTATCCTCTCATGGGTGCCTTCTAGTGGCGAGCGTCCTTGTGGTTCTTAAATGCTCCACCCATGCCCATGAAATATAGCAAATGCTTGGGAGAGAGAAAGCAAAGCTCCTATTCACGGAAGAGGGTGCAGGGGAGAGAAATGAGAAGAAAACCACTCAAAGGGCTGTATGACAGAAACTTTTCCTCTTATCTGTAACACACCTGGGGGCCTTACTGAGAGATGCCCCTGTTCCTGAGGGGATGAAAGTGCTAATTTTCATCCTCTTAGGCATGCCATTCCTGAGGATGGCTTGTAGCCTCTGGTCAAAGCAGGTCCCGAACCCTCTGGCACCCTCAGGGCGCCAGATGGGAGGAGCTTTGCCCACAGAGCTTCCCATCCACCATGGATGAGAATAAGTCTACCAAGATAGGATCTGCTAGGGGAAGAAAGGTGGCCAATCCCTCAAAGGAGAAGGACCAAGAGCCTTTTCCTCAGTGGGCTTTTATTGGGTTCAGTTTGCACAGGAATACAGGTAAAGCTCATCAATCATTATCAGGCAGTAAGGATCAAACAATAGATAACATACAAAGAACTATGAGGGCTTATTCTCAGTCAGGGTCTGTTAGCTAAAGGGCTATAAAAGTTTGAGAAACAAACTCATTTCATGCTTGGACCTTTATCAGAAAATTGAGAGCATTCTTAGCAAAGCAGGTTTCACAGGATTTTATGTATTCTTTCTTAGGACCGATTGCCCCAGGCAGAGCCTGCCCTTTCCAGCACAGGGCTGCACCACCCTCTGTCATTGTTTCAGGCTTAAGTCAGGCAGGGGAGGTAAGGCAGCCAAGAGATTAGAAGACTTCTTGCAGACAGAATGAGGACTCAGGCTGTGTCAAAGCTGAGGGGCGAGGGTCCATCATCCCCTTTTGCTGTAGCCCCCAAGTCCTTCCCTGAGGGCCCTCCATGACCATGCTTGTCTTAGGTTGTCCCTCCCTTGAGGAATCTTCTTCGTCATTGGCTAACTGGCCATTCACTGGAGGCCAGGTAGGTGAAGTAAAGTGGGCAGAGGCGGCACCCCTACAAGGGAGATAAGCTTTGTTTCCTTAGTGGCTTATGGTCCCAAGGTCTCTCACTCAACCTTAGCTATGGGGGGTTACAGCTTCTGAAACCAGGCAGGGCGGTTTCCAACAATTATAAGTGATATGAGGATGTGGGTTACTCCAGAGAGGTATAAAGGGGTATGACCACTTTGTGAAGCTGAATATTTGCATACCCTGTGGCTGAACAATTTTAGTGCTGGGTATGGGTGAGCAAACTTTTATAAAGGGCTATCAGATAGTAAATAGTTTAGGCTTTGTGGACCTTACGTCTGCCTGAACTGCCTAGCTCCACTGTTATAGTATGAAAGTAGCCAAAATGATGTATAAACAAATGAGGGTGACTCTATTCCAGTAAAACTTTGTCTACAGCTCTGGCTGGTATGGCTCAGTGGATTGAAGGCAGCCTGCATAGCAAAGGGATGTTGGTTCGATTTCTCAGTCAGGCCACATGCCTGAGTTGCAGGCCAGGTCCCAATTAGGGGGTGCATGAAAAGCGACTACACATTGATGTTTCTCTCTTGCTCCCTCCCTTCCCCTCTAAAAATAAATACAAACTAAAAAAAAAAAAAAACCTTTGTTTACAAAAAAGAGCTTTTTGCTTATCCTTGAGTGATTATTAAATATAAGCATGCATCATAATCACTTGGTAGGTTTATTATATAAACAGATTTCTGGGTCCCAACCTCTGAGTTTCTGATTCAGGGTATCTGGGTGGGACCCAAGACTTTGCATCTTCCTGCAAGTTTCCATGCAATGCCAGTGATGCTGGTCCAGGGACCACACTTTGAAAACCACTGCCCTAGATAATCTGATGCACTGTGTACAAGCTTATTCATAGCAGTATAACCCCAAAATGGAAATGTTCTAAATATCTATCAACAACAGACCATATAAATAGATTGTGGCAAAGCCTTACAGCAGAGTATTACACAGTAATGAAAATGTAAGGAACATAGCTACATTCCTCAACATTGATGTATCTCACAAAATGTTGAACACAAGCAACATGCAGAAAACTGCATATAGTAAGAAGCAATTCATTATAAAGTTCAACAACAGCTAAGCTAATCTATGCCCTAAATTGGTGGGAAAGCTATGAAGAGAGGTGAATGAACTTTAAAATGTCCAGGTAATGGGTCCCCTGGGGGAGGGAGGTCATGGTAATTGGAAAAGGGTCCAGCAGGGTGGCATCGATCTATTAACATGGAGGGTGGGGTTATATTCGTTTGTGTTGTTTTGTTTTCTTCACAGTTTTTAAAAGATAGAAATGCATTAAGTTAAATCTTTAATTTCTATAAAGCTCTGTCCAACCTTATAAAGCTCTTAAAACTCTTGCGTGCTTACGAAAAGCTAAGCAGTATTCTAAACACTTTGTATTTACTCAGTCATCATAAGAGTCATGTGAGATGGAGACTGTTACTGTCCTCAAGACCCAAAGCAGTTTTGTTCCTGAGCCTGATATATGGCAATGAAGTTTACTTCAAAGATTTTCACCTCTCATTGACACAGAAGGATGTAAATAGGGGCCGTAGACATTTGATTCCAAATGAGAAAATTTGTTCTGAAGAAATCTGTTCTGTTCAGAATGTTTATCTCCCATGCCCAATTCTGTGCCCAGTATCCACACAGAACAAGCCAATTTCTTTCTCAAGGGCAGCCACTGAGCATCTCTGTGTCTCCAGTGCCTTGCACTGTACTTAACACATAGAAAGAGCTCAAGGAAGTGCCAGCTGAATTCTCCTTGATAGCCTTTTGTGTATTGATGACGGCTTTAACTGTGGTTCTACCCTGGCATTCAGTCTTGTTCCAGTAACTCTGCCTTCTTCCCCCTCCAGCCTTAGTTGACTGTGATTTTGTGACAAAGCTTCCAGTCCTTTCACCCTTCTGGTTGCTTCAAAATTGGTTCGGTTTATTTTTTTGATTCTTAAATGTCTTAGCCAACCCTCAGTTCTTCAGCATGGTCTGCAAGATAGTTGTCAGCATTACAAAATGGAAGAGCTTGGGCAGAGATAGGACCTAGGAGAGGCTGGGTGGAGTCTGAACGTTTGTGTGCTGCTTTCCCATTCAGTCCACTCGCTCATTCCGTTCAGCAGTGAACAGACTGACTTTCCCATTTAGGTCCTGCTGACTGTGAAGATGATTTTGGTCAACACGCTTATTTTAACAAGAATATTTAACAAAAAAATAAATGTACATATACATGTTCCCACCTGCAATTCACTTAAGATTGATTCATGGCCTATACATTTTAATTTGGGCAGGGTGAAATCCTTATCTTGTCAATTGAGTGCATTATATTATTATAAATATTAGTTTAGAATAAATTTTACAGGTTAAATTATGAAGTATATTACATATGTTGCAAAAGGTAAAGATATGCTTGCTATCTTTACCTTTCATTGCTGATTTTTTTCTCATCTTAAAAATAACCCATTTGGTAATAAAGGTTTTTTTCCTACCCTCTCTACTTTAGTGGACAAACAAGATTAAACAAGGAGAAAGTAATTCAAGGTTGGTATATTATTATTTTTCCCTCTCTCCTTTAGAGTTCATGTGTGTGATGTGTGAGTTATGTAGGCCTGGTGGGGCAGGGTGGACTGGGCACGGGCCTGTACTGAGTTGGGATTACAAAATAAAGCATCTTAGTCACAGAAATGAGATCAGAGCAGATGGTGACCAGAAGCACTCTTAAGTGAGCTGGATGTAAAGGACGGTATTCCCGTTGCCTCTGGGTAGCTTTAAAATGCCCCCCAGCAGCTGATTAAACTGTCTTAAAATACAACTGCCTGGATTTAAGATGATTTTGTATTTGGAACCATAAAGTTTACTAGCTGATGTTAATGGTATTTTTCTCCTAAGATATTTTAATTTAAGTAGTAACAAAGAGGATTAAAAAAGAGAACTGTTCTCACAGGGATGCTTACTTTATTCTGAACAGGTCCCCCTCCCTTGTGTTAATTTGGGCTCAGATCTTTTAATCTCCCTATGATCTGGCTTGTCTGGCTTTGAAAGAATATTTTGGTGAACTTTCAGCTAGACCTGCTATTTCTGTGCTGTGATTATAAAAGCATTTTATTTAATTTTTTTCGGTTCAGGAATTGGGGTTGGCAGAAACTGATTTTCCTGCCCAGTGTGCCTGAGCGCCTGTCCTGGGTTCTAGTCAGATAATGGGCCTTTTATTTTTCAGTTCTTGCACCCACCCCGAGTTATTCTTTGGGCTTTTGTCTCTGACCACCTTGTCCTTCAGTGCTGCTCATTTGTTTCATATATTACAAGTTGACAATAGACCATGAATAAAAGTTTTTGTGTTCATACTTTTTTTGTAGGTTTCTTTTGTGTTCTTTTTCTGATTTTGTAAGTTAGATGCTTATAACCTCCTTTTTTTAAAAAAGCATGCCAGACCTACATATTTTTAAGTACTGTTTTGGTTGCATACCTACAATTTTGATATGTATTCAGAAGCAAGCATCTGAAATTTCCATTGTGATTTCTTCATTGATCTCTGAGTTACTTAGAACTGTTTACTAGTTCCCCAGTGACTGGGCTTGCTTTGCTGCTGCTGGGCTCCATCTTTTATGACTGACCTCCATCTAGTCATCCAAGTGATGGCTTGTGTCCTGACAGTGGTTTACTTGGTGATACTTTGAAATTTAACATGGTCTATTTTTGTAAGTCTACCAGTGTGTGTTTGAGCAAAATCTATGTTTTCTAATTGTTGGGTATGGAGTTACAGATCAAATAATCAACCTTGATTTTTTTGTTTAAATCTTCTATACTAATTTTGAAAATTTACTAATTTGCCTGCATGATCTAAATATCAATTTATGAATGAAATATGTTGAATTTCTGACTGGATGGCCAATTTATTCTTTAATTGCATAATGTGTGCTTTTTATGTCCCACTTTTATATAGTTAGAGTCTATTTTTATTAGGCACATTCCACTTTAAAAATTGTTATATATTCCTAGTGAATTGGATCACTGGTTACTTACAGTGATCTTCACAGTCCTTACTAAGACTTTTGTCATAAAGTCCTACATTGCTGAGAGTAATATAGGTACTCCAGCTATTTGGGGGGTTGCAATTTGTCTGGTATATATTTTTCCATTTTTTTCTTTTTAACCTTTCTGTGTACTGATGTCTTAAGTGTTATAACTTCATAAATACCGAGTAACTGATTTTGATTCTTTTAAAAAATAGAATCTGCCTTTTAATTGGCAAGAGTAGTCTATTTACTTTTACTCTGGTTACTGATATATTTGGCCTTCTTCCTTTGGTGTTCTGTTTTCTCTTCTTTTTCTAATTTTCCTTTTTTTTGTTTTATTTATTTTTTTACTTGCTTTTACTTCTTTTTTAAATTTAATTTTATTTTTTTATTGATTATGTTGTTACAGTTGTTCTATTCCCCCCTTCATTCACCTCTACCCTGCACCCCCCATCCCCACCATTCCTTCCTTTTAGTTTATGACCATGTGTCTCAAGTTCTTTTGAGTCTATATTTCCCATACTATTCTTGCCCCCCCATCAATTTTCTATCTACGGTCTGTGCTACTTATTTTCTGTACCTTCTCCCCCCTTCTCCTCCTCCCACTCCCCTGTTGCTAACCCTCCTGAGATCTTCATTTCTATGTTTCCACTCCTGATCTAGCTGTCCTCTTAGTTTGCTTTTGTTTTAGGTGTGGTTGTTATTAACTGTGAGTTTGCTGTCCTTTCACTGTTCATATTTTTTATCTTCTTTTTCTTAGATAAGTCCCTTTAACATTTCATATAATAAAGGCTTGGTGATGATGAACTCCTTGAATTTGATCTTATCTGAGAAGCACTTTATCTGTCCTTCCATTCTAAATGAAAGCTTTGCTGGATAGAGTAATCTTGGTTGTAGGTCTTTGGATTTCATGACTTGGAATACCTCTTTCCAGCCCCTTCTTGCCTGTAAGGTCTCTTTTGAGAAATCAGCTGACAGTCTGATAGGAACTCCTTTGTAGATGACTGTCCCCTTAGCTCTTGCTGCTTCTAGGATTCTCTCGTCATTTTAATCTTGGCTAATGTAATGATGATGTGCCTTGGTGTGTTTCTTCTTGGGTCCAACTTCTTTGGTACTCTCTGAGCTTCCTGGATTTCCTGGAAGTCTATTTCCTTTGCCAGATTGGGGAAATTCTCCTTTATTATTTGTTCAAATAAGTTTTCCACTGGTGGCTGTGCCTTTCCCCCTTCTGGTACCCATATAATTCGGATGTTGGAGCGTTTAAAGATGTCCTGGAGGTTCCTAAGACTCTCCCTCATTTTTTTTGAATTCTTGCTTCTTGACTCTTTTCTGTTTGGCCATTATTTGCTTTCTTCTGGTCCACTCCATTGATTTGAGTCCCAGTTTCCTCTTCATCACTATTGGTTTCCTGTGCAATTCCATTCATTTCAATTAGTTTCGCCTTCATATGTTTGTCTAATTTGTGGCTATAATCAACCAGATCTGTGAGCATCCTGATCACCAGTGTTTTAAACTGTGCGTCTGAGAGTTTTGCTATTTCTTCATCACTTAGATTTATAAGCTCTGGGGCTTTGAGATCTTCTTAAGCCATTTTTGGTCTGTTCGCGCCTGTTAAATATGAGGAGCGGAGCCTTAGATGTTCACCAGGGTGGGGCCGTCAGGTCACTGGGTTGTGACGCTGTATGTGGAGGCAGGGTCAGAGCTGGGAAATGGCAGCACCCTCTGCTGCCGCTGGCCTCTGGGGCCTGCTGGGTCCCGTCTAACTGCCCACTCCCTCGCTGGTCTATCTGCGCACAAATGCGAGACCACAGTCAAATCTTGGCCCTGCTCCCTCGCTGGTTCCCCGCAGTTGCTCGCTGGGTCGCTCACTAGGTCCACCTGTTGCAACCCTGAGCCTGGGTTCCGTGCGCCTGAGTCCGTCTGACCGACTTTTCCTGTGCTACCCCGCTCTGCCAGCTGCTGATTTCGCCCCTCTTACCGGTCAGGCTGAAGAATTTGTTGTTATCAGACTTCCAAAAAGTTCAATTTTCTGTGTTCTGCCTGTGTTTTCTGTGGCTAATATTTAGTTGTCTCTAAACTTGGTTGTGTGAGAAAGCACGGTGTCTCCACCTGTGCCTCCATCTTGGCGGAAGTAGGAGACTCACTTGCTTTTACTTCTTAAGTGCTGCTTTTCTTTTCCTTATCCAACCCCTTCTTACCTTCCCTACTGGCTTTGATAATGGTCATGATAAGCCATTTTTATTCTTTTAATGGTTAAAATTGTCCTTTAAACTTTTACCATTCATACCTAATAAAGTATAAGATTAATATCCCATCTCCTGAAAAATACAAAGAACTTTTGATACTTTTGTTTATTATCTTAATCCTATCTTTTTAAACCATAGGAATGTAGCTTTATTTAATTTGTTATTGAGATACTATTTATATACATTTACATATATATTTACCAGTTCCTCATCATTTCTTTTGTATCCCAGATCTTCATTCCTGAAATATCTTTTTTATTTTTATTTTATTTTTTCCCTTATTATTTAACCCCTTTACTCCCACCTCCCCCCAGTCCCGTAGTCACCACACTATTATGCGTGTCCATGAGTCGTTTGTTTGTTTTTTTGTTTTTTTTGCTCAGTCCCTCCACCCCCTAACTCCCACACCCCTTGCCCCATATTTGAAAGTCCCCCTGGTGCAGATTGCTTGATGGTAAAGATGGTTTCAGTTATTTTTATTGTAGACAATTCTGTTTTTATACTATTTAATTTCTTTTGGTCTAGATAATTTTAGACAGTGCTCTTAGCACTTGGCAGATCCTGTTCTCTATTGCTTTTAGGCTTTTATTGTTTCTGTAAGAAGTCTTCTCTCAGCCAAATGATGTTCCTTGGTAGGTAATTTGTCTTTCTCTAAAACAGCTGCTGGTATTCTACAGTTTATCTTAATATATCTAGGAGGAATTTTACATAATATTTATCCTGCTTGATATACATTGTGTTTCCTTTATTTGTAGATTTCTGAAAAATTCTCAATCATTATCTCTTCATATTTCCTCTCCATTTTTCCTTCTCTTTCTGGAGTTCCAATTAGATGCAAGTCGGGAATTCTCATTCTTTCTGTTATGTCTCTACTACATCAGAGATATGTTCCATGTGTAGCCATGCTGCATTCTGGGTAATGACTTCAGGCCTGTCTCTGAGTTTATTATGCCTCTCTGCAACTGGACCTCCCTTTATCCATTGAGGAGATTATTTTTTCATTAAGCAATTCTATTCTTCATTGTTACATGTTCTATTTGGTTCTTTTAGAAAGCTGTCTTGATAGGTTTTGATGAGTTTCTGTTATTTGCTTATTTTTGTGATTCTGCCTTTATGTTATTTTATAATGTATATTTTTATTTTGGTGTCAGAAGTGTTAATTGGTTCTAAATCTGTTACTTATTGTTTCCATTGTTTTCATTCATGATGGATTAATTTCTTGTGTGTTAAGTCTTTGGTTAAACTATTTGCTCTAAATTAGTAGAAAACTAGTTATCCTTTATTGAGAATGATTTGCTTTGAAAAGGATTTACATTTGATTTTACTACTGACCTGAAACTACAACACATTAGCTTCCTTACAGGATAGCTATAATATTTGGGTTTCAGCTCAAGGTTTTTGGTTGTTTTGCCTCGGAAACTTTTGCTTATATCCCATGAGCCCAGGAATGCATCTCTCTCTCTCTCTCCTCCTCTCTCTCAATTGTTTTGTAGCAGGATAAATCTTTAGAGTATCTAATCAGCCTTTCTTCTGTAAACAGAGATTTCCAAAGAAAAAGAAGGAAGGGAGGGAGGGGGGAAGAATGGAGGGAGGAAGGAAAGATACAATATGGAACATTTTGGCAGTGGAGATAGAAGGAAAAACTTTCTTCAGTGATGATCCTACCACCCAAACATAACACCTGAGTTGAGTATATAAGAGCAGAGCCAGCATTGGTAATAAAATATAACTAATAAAAGGATGGGAAGATGTGAAGAAGTAGAAAGCTTGAGACAGTTGATTTTCATTATCATCCAGTTCCCGTTAGGCAAACATTCTTTTGGGAAAATTTGAATACTTGAGCCTTTTATAATGGATTATAGGTTAATTTTACATGTCAGTTCTCTGAAAACTTATGTGGAAAAGTACCCAAGGTAATATTTAAATAAAATATAAGTAAATGCATTTATAGTTTCTTACATGTGATTTAATTTGCATACCTTATGTATATTTTTGAATGGTTTGTTCATTCTCTTACTGTCATAGGACAAGGGGTAGATGAGCCTCTTTCAGAAACTGGATTTAAACAAGCAGCTGCTGCTGGTGTTTTTCTAAATAATGTGGAGTTCACTCATGTTTTCTCCAGTGATCTCATTAGGACAAAGCAGGTAAGTTCAGAGTCAAGGTTTAGGGTGATGAGTCCAAAGTTTCAGCAGTTGTAACCTTGAAAAATATGCTACCAGAATCTGTAGGGAACTAAAACACACACACAATACCCCCAGTCTTCCCTTCTCCTCAATAGAACTTTTTCTTCTTTTTTTTCATTTTTCTTTATTTCATTTTTGTAACTTTTAAATTAGAATAGCTTGGGGAAAAAATCTAACAGACTGTGTAAAATAAAAGCATAAGACAAAGAAAGTGTCAGGAGAGAGAGAGAGAGTCAGAAGAAACAACTGATAGGAGAATTTAACTCACAAAGACATCAAATACTGGAATAAGTAGATGCAGCTAAATAAAACAATATTACTGCAAAGAAATAAAAGACATTTTTGAAATATCATAAATATCTTTAGAGAATAGATTGACTATAAAAACAACACCAGAGATTTAAAAAAGAACCAAAGCAACTACTAAAAGCTCAGCAGAAGAATTTTTGTGACAACTATGAGGGAATAACAGGGCTGGGAGTTAGCCTCTCCTGAAAAACAACTAGAGGACAAAATTTGTCAAACACTCTTTTCAGATATTGGACTTCAGGTGATGTGAGTTTATAATCCCCAAATGAAGTAAGACAAATGAGGTGAGCCCTAGGATTGTCCTGAATTTTCTGCTGAAACAATATCCAGACTGTGGCAGGAGAAGCCAAATAGAGCCCAATGGTCTCAGTAAGTTCAGGAGATAGAGCTTAGAATTTGGGAAGGTTAAATAATTAAACTATGTGAGACAGCATGAGCTGCACAGAGAAAAAACTCTAGAAATATGTATAGGGAATCCCCTTAAATCTTCAGTGGATTATTAGTCTGCACATATGTAGAGCAAAACTGCATGAAGCCAGGCAAAACACGGCTTCAGGGGAGAGAGCAAATGCTGGGGAGTTGTAAGCTGAACGATTCTTAGAACTCGTGGGGTTTGGGAATCAATTTGAGTTCCCATCAGCTGAAGTAAAGAAATATCATTGAATACATAGAGCATACAGCAGAGTTGTCATCGGGTCACACCTTAACAGGTGAGGCTAAACTGTCCTTAGAGGAACATAGTGAGGAAAGAAATAGAAGATATAACAAAAAAACCCACAAATTTATCTTTTAGAGATAAAGAATACAATATTCTGAAATGAAAATTTCACAGGATGAAATTAACAGCAGAATAGACACTGTAGAAGAGGTCAGTGAACATGAAGACACGGAAACAATATTCTAAAATTACAGAAAGAAAAAAGACTAGAAAAGAAGAGGTGAAGTTTCAGTGAAGTACAGTACAATATTAAGTGATTTAATTTACATGTAGTTGAAATCCCAAAAGGGAAGTGAGGGTGGGAGATGAATACAAGGAATAAAAACGAATATTTTGAGGAAATAATGACTAAAAAAAATTCCAAATACATACCCAGTGCAAATTCTTTGAAAAATTAGGTGAAATATAAACTTTCTCTCAAGCAAAAGTTGAGGGACCTAAAAAATAGAACCCGATGGGGAGAGTGTTCCATTTTTTTTTTTTAATGTTGTTGGTCCATTGGGTTTTGGCCATGGCGCCAGGGTAATTCAGTGATTGAAAGGGTCGTTTTTTTTCTGTAAAAGGTGCCAAAACATGGGGCTTTCTATGTGGAAAGATGTGAACTTTGTGTTGTGTGTTTACCTCACACAACACAAAAATTAACTTGTGATTGATCATAGCACTAATCTAAAAGCTAAATTTGTAAAACCTCTGTAAGAAAACAGGTGGAAAATCTTTTTAAAGGTTTTTTTGGGACAAAGCTGATAATTCTACAGAATTGTTGGAAGATAATAAATTATCAGATGCAGAAAGTGTAACAAATCCTGGTCAGGATAAAGAAAAACCCACTTCCACACTTATCCTAACAAAATGGCAAAACTCCAAACAATCAGAAGGAAAGGCATCATCTATAAAAGGCCAATATTAGGCTATGAACACATTTGTCAATATCAATAATAATGTCTTTGAAGTGCTGGGAGACAATAGGATTAACCTAAACTTTTACACTCAGCAAACATTTTCTAGAGTGTATGTGAAATGAGAACATGTCAGACAAATAGGCTGTAAAGAACTTTCAAAGGGTAACTGAAGAAGGAAAATAATTCTGGAAGGAAAACCTGAGTCTCAGGAAAGAATGATGAGCAAAGAACTTGGTAAAGTTTTAGGTAAATATAAACAACTGTTGACAATATAAAACAGTAATAATGACAATATCTAATTTCTGGGGAGAATGTTAAAAAAACAAGGCAGGTTGTAGACTTAATTTCTACCGTTTTGCAAATACAGTGTTTCTTGTCAATTAAAAATAACCAGGCATGCAATGAGAACAAAATGTGTATGAAAATAAATAAAAAATAAAGGCAGCAGAGGCAGCCATGGGAGTTATCTGGTAATGGGAGATATCAGACACAGGCTTTATACAATCATTTAATGCATAGGTAAAAGTTGTGGAGACTATTAGCAGAGAGTCGGAAGCTCTAAAGAAAAATCAAGTGTGAATTCTAGAACCAAAAATAAAAACTAAGACTTGATGGATTTGGCATCAATTTTGACATACCTGAATGGAGAATTAATGAACTACAGCCTTTTCTGTAAAGGATCAGATAGTAATTTTTTTGTGGGCCATGTGGTCACAGCTGTTCAACTCTGCTGTAGTACTTTGAATAGCCATAAATAATACATAAATGGCTGCATTCTAATAAAACTTCATTTACAAAAACAAACGATGGTCTGGATTTGGCCTGTAGGATATAGTTTGCTGACTTCTGAACTACAAGTTATGTTAGAAGGAAATATGAAAATCTGGTATGAAGAGACAAAGGACTAGCAGTGCAAAGAGAGGCAAATTTCTCAAAGAAAAATTAAATCTAGTTCTTTTTTTATTCACTAAGAAACCATGTATTATTTTGGCCAGAATGATTATTTTTATGAGAAGAGAAACAGTTATCTTTGATTTTTCAGACTGTGCATGGGATTTTGGAGAAGAGCAAATTTTGCCAAGATATGACAGTAAAGTATGATTCAAGACTTCGAGAAAGAGTAAGTAACTTATGTATTATTCTTTGCCAAAAGTTATCAGTAACCACCTCAAGTTATCACATGGCTAAAAAATTATTCCTGCTAGGGATATGGAAAGAGCTAACATTCATTAAGAATCTGTCATGTAGCAGTCACTGTCACAAACTCTCATACATGGTATCTTATTTAATTATTAAAATCATATCATATACATCTTGAATTATAAAAGCAAGGTATACTTATAAGAATTTAACACAGTACCAAAGAGTTTAAAATAAAGTTGAAAAGCTCTCTTTCTCAGCTTCCCAATTCTACCCCCTGACTTTAAGCATATATAGCCCACTTTATATAGCAGCAATGAATCTTTCTGAAACTGTGATTTAGCTAAAACCATAGAACAGTTTCATATCTGAGATTTTACTCCAAGTCTCCTAGACTTTTTATTATGGCCTATAATATTGACCTATAAGCTGGTTAATGTCCCTGTCAGTCCTGTGATTTCTTCTGTACCTGGGCAGAAATGTAACAGAATGGCTAAGGCATCTTTTTAAAAAAAAATACATTTATTGACTTTAGAGAAAGAGGAAGGGGGAAAGAAAAACATCGGCTGGCTGTCTCCCATGTACCTTCAAACCAGGGCGTGAACCTGCAACCTGGCTATGTGCCCTGACTAGGAATCAAACCCCAACATTTTGGTGAATAGAAGGATGCTCCAACCAACTGAGCCATGCCAACCAGGGCTGGCTAGCACATCTTTAAAAAATTCCTTTTTGTAACTTGCATGTGTTCTCTGTTATAGTTGTGTGTGTGTGCCTGTGTGTGTGTGTACTGCACTCCTCGGACTGCTCAGTGGACTGCACTCCTTTCTCCACCTGGCTCTTGCTTTACCCAGCAGTTCAAACCATTCGTTCTTCATTCTTCACTGTCTCTCACACCACACATCTGTCATCATCTGGTCAGTTCTGCCTCTAAATGGTTCTTGAATCCTTCATTGATTTGCAAATCCACTGCTGTCATCCTATTGCAGTTCACTGTCACCTGTCACCTAGATTTTCCTGTTTTCACTGCACTTTCTTTTCCAAACTAATGTCTACACTGCAAGCCAGAGTAATCTCTGGAAAATTTGGTTGCTGCACACCTGTATAAAACAGTTCACTACTTCTCTTTTATCCTCAAAGGTAGTCCCTGCTCTGACCTGGCTGTCTCTCATTGTGCTGTGTGATTGGATCTGGTGCCTCCACCTGCCTCCTTCCTTTTCCCTTGTGCTCACCACTTTCTGGCCCTGTTCCAAGTGGTGCACGTTTATTAATCTTCACAACAGCCAGATGTGAAGATTTAAAAACATGTTTTAGCACCATTTTATTTTATTTTTTATTTTTTTTAAGATTTTATTTATTTATCTTTAGAGGGGAAGGGAAGGAGAGAGGGAGAGAAACATCAGTGTATGGTTGCCTTTCGTGCGTCCCCTGCTGGGAACTGGCCTGCAGGGAACCTGCCTGCAACCCTGGCATGTGCCCTGACTGGGAATCGAACCACGATTGTCTGGTTCACAGGCCCACGCTCAATCCACTGAGCTACACCAGCCAGGGCTAGCACCCATTTTACAAGTGCAGAAACGAAGGCACACAGAAATCAAGTCCATGCTCAGGGTCACAGAGCTAGTTTGTGGCAGAGCTCAGATCAAAGTTGAGGCCATCTGGCTCTGGAGTCCCATGTTTGGATCCCTGGTAATAAGCCTCTCGAGCATGTTGGAGTTGCCCAAACGGCCCGTGCTCTTTCCTCACTGAACTTCTGAATTTGCCTCCACTCTCCCCAGAATACTTGCTCTCCAGACCTGGCCCAGTTCCACTCACCCTGAGGCTTTGGCCTTCTCTGATCCTCAAATCCAGATTGGGAGTCTCTGCTGTATGTGTGTCTGTCCAGTATTTCCCTCCCTCACAGCACTTTTCCATACCGTTCCTAGGTTAGTGTCCCCACTAAACTGTGATGTCCATAGGCACAGGGAGCCGTGGGTCACCTGCTCTCCTTCACTGCACTGGCCTTACTGCCTAATGTGCTTCAGCTTAGCCTTTGGAATATTTAACCAATGGATGTTTCCATTCTCGAACAAACAGAACAAGTGATGATTATTAATGTTCCTCTCTGTAACAGAGGTTGCTCCAGATATAATTGAGGATGTAAGAGTTGGACTTGTGGATTATAAGAGCACCTGGCAAAAAATATGCATATGCTCCTATAAAAATAGTTCACCGTTGGACTCTGTTTGATGGTATTGTTAGAATCTTCTGGTTTCGTCAATGCAGCTGTACATAATGATTTATCTCTTTCAATATTTTATTATGGAAGTAATCCATTATTATTGTGGGGAATTATGAGTTCAGAGGAGATGTAATAAGTAGAAAGAAACCACACTTCCTGGGGTGATTGCACTTAATTGCTGTATTGCATATTCACTGGATGCACTTTTGTTTATTGGACCATTGCAGAAATACGGGGTTGCAGAAGGCAGGGGGCTGAGTGAGCTAAGGGCAATGGCTAAAGCAGCTGGGGAAGAAATACCTGGGTACACACCACCTGGAGGAGAGACCTTAGACCAGGTATGTAGCCCTGGGGCATGCTGATGAACTTGCCAGTATCACCGTAGCTGAAATCTGACTTCTTTTTTGGTATGTTAGCTGTTCCTAAATTTTAGATAAGCAGTTTGAAAGTTGTTTGGTTTATAAAACAACTCTACATGATACCATTTTTTTCTTTTGAAGCTACTGCCACTTTTTCATTGAAAATATTAAGTTGGTAGTCATAGCTGATAGTGAATTTAAAGAATGTGTGCTATTGGATGTAACTATTAAGAAAACTCTTTGAACATTAAGCAGTAACTTCAGCAGTGGTAGTGGTAGTCAGTAAAGTGTGTGGTGATGTTCAAGGACAATGACAGGCAAGATAATTCAAGCCATAAAATCCTCAGGCTTCTGCTGCCTCTCCAGCTCTGTGATAGTATCACCACACTTGCATTTCTTTGGATCGTTCTGCTTTCAAATTGTATTATTGGTGATTTTCCCCCTTGTTCATTATTTTAATAATTTTTTTGTACAGACTTTCTATTAACTTAGTAAAGGAAAGGTTTTTTTTTCCTTGTTGTTCTAAGTCAGCTGAAGTGTCAGATGTAGTTTTGTAGTTAATACTATTTTGTGGTTGTCTGTTTACTTGCAGACTTCTCTAACTAGACTCTGAGTGCTTTGAGTCAGGAGTTAGGAATTGTACCTTAGTCATCTTTGTCCCCAATGTGCTTCCATAATTCCAGAAATATGGTGGGCCCTCACTAATATCCATAGAAATATGGATTGAGTGAATAGAAACATAGTGTTTCACCTACTCATATGGAACTTACAGTGACAAAATAGAAAAATCCAGTCAGGTTTTGTGTTTCTGTTTTAAGACAGACATTAATCTACCTCATTGCACCTTTTCTTGTAGGTGAAGATGCGTGGAATAGAGTTTTTTGAATTTCTTTGTCAACTGATCTTGAAGGAAGCAGGTCAAAAAGAACCAATTTCCTCAAAAACTTCAAGCACCAATTTGGAAACTTCTTTGGCAGAGATATTCCCTTTAGAAAAAAACTGTGCCTCCAAATTTAATTCAGACAGCAGCGCTCCAGAATTAGTAGCCAGTGTCTTAGTTGTGAGTCATGGTGCCTACATGAGAAGCCTGTTCAATTATTTTCTGACTGACCTTAAGTGTTCCTTACCAGCAACTCTGAGCACATCTGAACTTACATCAGTCAGTCCCAACACAGGGATTAGTCTCTTCATTATAAACTTTGAGGAAGGAAGAGAAGTTAAACCAACAATTCAGTGCGTTTGCATGAACCTACAGGATCATCTAAATGGAGTGACTGAAACTTGCTAAAAATCTGTTTTGAGCCTCTGAGGGAGGCAGTGCCTTTGACTTTATTTATTTTCATCCTCTGCTATTGCTGATTCGGAAACAGTTAAAAAGCTTTCTACTGTAACAGGTATTAAAGCTTGAATGGAATCATAGCCACATAAAACACTAATTGAAAACCATTTAGAATTGACTTTTTGTCTGAGTGCAGCTGACATTTTCCAGAGTATTTGTACCACTCTGCTTAGTTATATCTCTGGATTGTAAATGGGTGAAGGAACTCAGTATTGCAAATTGGGGGATTAATAACCTGATTATGTTTTTTTTCTTTTGATATTTTTCTTTAATGTCTGAAAAATCTAGCTTATTTTATTGGCTCTTGATAAGATACTGTATGTTTTGTGCTATTCCATCCAGTGCTTGGAAAAAGGAACTATTTATAATTTCCACTGAATATTTATAGTGTTAATATGGTATATTTTTAAAGTCCTTTAAATGAAAAGTGCTTACCATTGTAAGTTTATATAAAGCAAAATGACACAAATTTTTAATACAGAAATCAGCTATTGGAATTGTTCACTCTAGAAGGTTTGATATGTGAATAAATGAAAATTAGGGTACAGAATGATCTGGTGAGGAGGAAGTTAAAGCGTCACTTGATTTGAAAACATTGAAGAAGGAATCTGAGCAGGAAAGATTAGATAAGAAAGAATCTTTCTGTAGGCTGAAGGGTTTAGTGTGGGGACAGCTCCAAAGAAACTAAACAGGTACCAGTGTACTGCACAGAGACCTCAGAATAAAAGTATGTGCTTCACTCAAGAAAAATGGCACTCTGATAACTGCAGATGTGAGATTTGTGGAAGGCACAGATGAGGTTGCCTCTTTTTCCCACCAGATGGCAGTGGTGAAAGGGATTTGGGTTAACTTAATTTTGTACGTATGATTAGGCCCTTAAAAATCCTGCCTAAATGAAGACGTGTTTTACATGTAGTTGCTTTTCAGTTGTCATGTTGATGAATGTTCTGAGTCTCAACTTCTAAAAGAATTAACACTAAATTGTGTCAGTTAAGGCTAAAACCATGTCTAGTCAATATTTACTTTGAACATCATTGAAGCCATGGGTGCAGGGTGGCATTCTGCTGTTCGTGTGTCCAGCACCAGCCGCTTTCCTGCCGGTATTTGAACAGAGCATGTGGTTGAGCACCAGGGAAGTACACTGCAAATGAAAATTGGACAAAACAACTGAAGGACAAATAATTATAATAATATATGCATTCCCATCATCCAGAAATAATATCCCCCCTTTTTAGGACATAACTAGTTGTGATATAAGTCAGGGTCCTTACCCAGTCCCTGCAGTCCTGCGCCCTCTTGCGCTCTGCAGCGGTGCCTGCCGCAGCCAGTCTGCATGCATGTCCATCCATTCTTCACACTTCCACCTGGTGTCATAAGGCCACAGTATTATTTTGGTGTCTTAAAAATATACATAAATATCTACAAGCTGTCTGTATTCTTTATTTTTACTTATTTTATCTTGGGGCTTTTATGTTGATTTGTATACATCTATTTAATACCACTCCTGTTGAATAAATATGGCATTTTTGTGTATTCTCCTCTATTAGTGGGTATTTATGTATATTCAACATTTTCCCATAAAAACTGCTGCAGAGAGCAGCCTTTTGCGTCTCTTCTCCTGCTGGGCAATAAAACACGTGCATCTCCTGTGGCCAAGAGCTAAATTGTTTTCGGAATGGCTGTTCTGTTTTTCAGCCTTGTTGGCAGTATACAAAAGTTCCTATTTTCCACATCTTTGTCAACACTTGACTCTTGACAAAATTTTGTTAATCTAATGAGTGAAAAATATTACGTTGTTATTTTCATGAGCTTTTCTGTGATTACCAATGGGTCGGTGTGTTTTTTTTTCCGTGTGCATGTTGATAATTAGTACGTTCTCACTGGTGAAGCACCCAGTGTATATATTTTGCCTGATTGCTTCCTGGGCCATTTCGGTCTTTTTAGTGAGTTACAGGAGTAATGTCGCAAATACCTTCTGGTTTACTTGCCTTTTACATATATTTATCATGCACTTTTTCTGTTCTTATATTCTTTAAGTTTATTTTTCAATTACAGTTGATATACGGTATTATATTAGTTTCAGGTGTCCAACATGGTGATTAGAAATGTGTATAACTTACAAAGTGATCACCCTGATAAGTCTAATACTCACCTGGCACCATACTTAGTTATCACAGTGTTACTGACTATCTTCCCTGTGCTGTACCTTACATCCCTGTGACTGTTTTTATAACTGGTAATTTGTACTTGTTAATTGCTCCTACCTTTTTTGCCCAGCCCCCCTTCCCCTCCCATCTAGCTACCATCAGTTTGTTCTCTGCATGAGTTTTTTTCCTGTTTTGTTTTTTAGGTTTGATATAGACGCTAAGTCATATTTGTCATCCTCTGACTTATTTTACTTATCATAGTACCCTCTTGGTCCATCCATGTTGCAAATGGTAAGGTTTTATTCTAGTTTACGGTTAATATTCCATTGGGTATATGGATGACATCTTTATCCATTTGTCTATTGATATTGATACATTATTAGTAACTAAGGTCCAGAGTTTATTCAGATTTTCTGTTTTTGCTTAGTACTCAAAACTTCCAATCCCATTTGGTGCCACAGTACATTTGGTTGTCACAGCTCCATAGGCTCCTCTTAGCTATGACAGTTTCTCAGACTGTTCTTTTTCTAACGACTTTGGAGGTTTTGAGGAATACTGGTCAGGTGTTCTGTAGGATGCCTCTGTATTGGAATTCGATGTTTCTGTCATGATTAGGGTGGGGTTAGGGTTTTTTGGGAGGGAGAGACCATAGAGGCAAACTATTATTTTCGTCACATCAAGTGCACGTACTGTCAATAGGGCTATTTCATTTGAAGTACTGACGTTGATTTTGATGTTGTCCTTAATCACCTGGCTAAGATAGTGTTTGTCAGATTTTCCCACTGTAAAGATACTCCCCTTCAACCCTTTCCATGCTGTACCCTTTGAAAGGAAGTCACTGTGTACAGTGGAGGTCAATGCTGCCCTCCTTGAGAACAGAGTATCAACATGAATTATTTGGAATTCTTTTGCCTGAGAGATGGGACTCATTTATTTATTTATTCATTTGTTTAAAATATATTTTATTGATTATGCTATTACAGTTGTCCCATTTCCCCTCCACCCTGCACACCCCCTCCCACACATATTCCCCACCTTTAGTTCATGTCCATGGGTCATACATATGAGTTCTTTGGCTTCTACATTTCCTATACTGTTCTTATCCTCCACCCGTCTATTTTCTACCTACCATTTATGCTACTTATTCTTTGTACCTTTCCCCCCACTCTCCCATTGATAACCCTCCATGTGATCTCCATTTCTGTGATTCTGTTCCTATTCTAGTTGTTTGCTTAGTTTTTTTTTTAGGTTCAGTTGTTAATAGCTGTGAGTTTGTTGTCATTTTACTGTTCATATTTTTTTGTTTTTTTTTTCTTAGCTTAATCCCTTTAACATTTCTTACAATAAGGGCTTGGTGATGATGAACTCTTTTAACTTGACCTTATCTGGAAAGCACTTGATCTGCCCTTCCATTCTGAATGAAAGCTTTGCTGGATAGAGTGATTTTGGATGTAGGTCCTTGCCTTTCATGACTTTGAATACTTCTTTCCAGTCCCCTTCTTGCCTGAAAGCTTTCTTTTGAGAAATCAGCTGGTAGTCTAATGGGAACTTTTTTTTGTAGGTAACTCTCTTTTTCTCTTGATGCTTTTAAGATTCTCTCCTTATCTTTAATCTTGGGTAATGTAATTATGATTTGCCTTGGTGTGTTCCTTCTTGGGTCCAACTTCTTTGGGACTTTCTTGGACTTCCTGGAAGACTATTTTCTTTGTCAGATTAGGGAAGTTCTCCATTGTTTTTTTCAAATAAGTTTTCCATTTCTTGCTCTTCCTCTTTTCCTCCTGGCACCCCTATGTTTTGGATGTTGGGATGTTTAAAGTTGTCCCAGAAGTTCCTAAGCCTCTTCTCTTTTATTTTTTTTTTTAATTCTTGTTTCCTCATTCTGTTCTGGTTGACTATTTCTTTTCCTCCTTCTGCTCCAAACCGTTGATCTGAGACTGGTTTCCTTCCTGTCACTGTTGGTTCCCTGTAGATTTTTCTTTATTTCACACAATTTGACCTTCATTACTGCCTGGGCCTTTTTTTATGCTGTTGAAGTACCCAGTAAGGTCCTGGAGCATCCTGGATGCTCCAGTGTTTTGAACTGTGCATCTGATAGGTTGGCTATTGCTTTGTTGCTTAGTTGTATTTTTTCTGGAACTTCAACCCGTTTTTTCATTCAGGCCGTTTTTTTTGTTTGTTTGTTTTTTGTCTCTGTGCACCTGTTACGTAGTAAGGGGCAGAGCCTTAGGTGTTCCCCAGGGCAGGGCAAGTAACTGTGTTGGGTCGCTGTATTTGGGGTTGGTATCCAAGAAGGAACAGTGGTACTTGCTCTGCTGTCTGCCGGTTTTCAGTCACTTTCCCTGCTTCCCACAAGCAAACTGGGTCCTTCTGGTGCTGATTCCAGGGTGGGTGGGTTTGTGTACATTCTAGGACCCTGTGCATGTCTCCAATAAAGCCACTCATGTTTCCTGTGAGGCTGGGAGTTTCTTCAGTGTTTGCCTCAACCCCCAGAGGAGTTTTCAGTTAAGCTTTGAGGCTTTATTTCCTGGTACTGGAACCCTGGGTTGCGTGTTCTGTCCCTCCCTAGTTGTTCCTCTCAGTTTATTTGCACTCGAATGTGGGACTGCCTAGTCCGCCAGCTGCAAATCCTTTCCACCCAGCTGCTGTCTGTGCCCCCTCCTCCTGGTCCGGATGCATGTTTCTTTTTTAACTCCTCCTTGGTTGTCGGACATCCATACAGTTCGATTTTCTGTCAGTTGTGATTGTTTTTTATTTTTAAATTTTTTGATGTCCTCCTTTTGGTTGTGCAATGAAGCACATTGTGTCTACCTGTGCCTCCATCTTGGCTGAAAGTCTATTTATTTATTCAATTATTTCTTTTCTGTGTAAGATTTTGAACTTTTGAGTTAATTGACACTTTTTTGTTGGACCAGTATATAGTCCATATTGAGGGACATTTCATTTATACTTGTAAAGAAATTATATTCTGTAGTTGTTTGGTTTAGTGTCATTAATGCAAATTATATGTAGTTCATCATTAGTGTGGCTCAGCTATCTCCATCCTTGCTGATGTTTTGTCTACTTGCAAATCAGTTGTGGAGAGAGTGGTGTGCACATTTCCAACTAGGATTTGTACGTACTTGTTTCTCCTTTCAGTTTTGTCACTTTTGCTTCATTTGTTTTGTGGCTGTTTTTAGAAACAAACATGAGTTTTATGTCTTCCTTATCAATGGGTCCTTTTAGAATCATAAAATATTCCCCTTTTCTACGGCAGTGCTCCTGAGTTTGAAGCATATTTTGTATGATATTAATATAGTAAGCCTATATTGCTTACTGTTTTCACTGTATGTATCTGTTATAAACCTAGTTGTGCCCCCCCCCCATTCACTGAAGGACTAGTGCCCAGTTGAAGCCCTGGCCCTTAGTGATGCAGAAGTTAACTTATTTTGGAGATAGGGCCTTTAAAGAGGCAATTAAATAAAATGAGGCCAATAGGGTGGCCCTCAATTCAATCTCACTGGTGTCCTTAGAAGAAGAGGAAATTTGTAGATCCCAGGGATACATGTGCACAGAAAAAAGACTGAGAACACAGGGAGAAGCCAGCCATCTGGAAGCCAAGGAAAAGGGCTTCAGAAGGAAGGAAACCTGCCAACATCTTGGTTTCAGACTTCTGGTCTCCAGGACCCTGAGCAAGTTAGTTTCTGTTGTATAAGCCACTCAGTCTGTGGGATTTTACTGTGGCAGCCCTAGCAGACTGACACAACACCTTCCCATCTTTTCTTCCCAGTGAATATTTTATAGACAGCATACAGTTGGGTATTTTTATTTAACACAATCTGACCATTCTTGCCGTTAGTTGTGTTTTATTTATATATAGTGTAATTATTGATATGATTGGATTTAGTCCATCATTTTTTATTTATCCCATCTGATATTCTGATATTCTTCCTTTTCTGCCTTCTCTTGAGATAATAGAATATTATCCAGTATTCTCTTTTAATACTTATATTGGCTTTTGCCCATAACTATGTGTATTATTAATATTATTTTGGTGATTACTTTAGGAATTACAGTATTCAGTATCCTGACTTATAATAGCCTACACAGAGTTAATATTGTATCACTTCCACATACATGTTACAGTCTTGCAACCATGTTGTTTCATTACCCTTCCCATCCTGCATGGTAATTTTTCCATGTGTGTGACACGTACATGTATTATTAATCCCACAGTGCAGTGTCATAGTTTTTGCTGTAAGCAATATTTTAAAGAAATCAAATAAATAATTAAATGCACAAATCATATTGTGCATTTTAATAGTTTTTCTTTTTATTTTTTTCTATTTCTGATGCTCTTATTTCTTTCCCAGAGTTTTTCCATGTGTTGTTACTTCTTTTCAGCCTGGTAACAGGTTCT